TGATTGCCCTGTGACATCCTTTGTCCCATTTGTGCCGTTTGACAAGGAACTCTGGTGGCACAGGGGTTAAGCACTCGGCTGCTCATCCAAAGGGCTGAGTTTCAAACTCACCTGCAGCTCTGCAGAAGAAAGGTGTGCAAGTCTACATCGGGAAAGATGACAGCTTTGGAAACCGTAACGGGAGAGTTCTGCTCTGTTCTGCAGGGTCAGCATGAGTCTGAGTCCACTCGACGGCTTAGGTCTGCTTTAGGGTTTCCTACTGGTCTCTGTGTCTATGGGCTCCTTATAATTCAGGCGTGGTTAGACTTTGGACACCCACCCCCTAGATACGGTCTCATCCACCAGACTAACAAAAAACCCCACTTCCCAAAGGAAGTTACATCCACAGATTCAGGAACGATGACCCCAACACAAAGGAAGGGACTTGAAAAACTGGCTGGAAAAACGGCTTCATCTTTCACAGCATTTCTGCTCCCCCACTCCCAAACTTTGGGGACACAATTCAATTGACAACAGCTAGGAAGTGGTGGGCGGGAGTGGTGAGCTGAGACTTGATCAAGTCAGGTAACAAACCCCGTAGTGAACTTAAAGGGCGGTCGAGAACCAGTATCAGTGGCATTCGGATTTTTCCCATTGGGTTGTTTTATCTTTTGTTTGTGTCCTGAGTCATGTAAGTAGTGTGCCCTGATTGGTAATCAGGACCAAGCTCCTCCCCTTTAAGAAGGCAGTCTTTGACCCTTGCAGAAGAAGTGTCACTGTTGTGACTGTCTGTTGAGTCCCTCCCTCCATCCGCGGTCACCTCTGCTGGCTTCTCCAGCTGCCCTTTGCCACAGGCTGTCTTCCATTCATTCTAAATGCTACACTTTTGAATGATTATAAGTCGCTCCTGCCACCGAGTGATGCCCACTCATAGTGACTTACAGGACAGGGCACACCTGCCTCTGTGGGTTTCTGAGATGAACTCTACATGGGAGTAGAAAGCCTCCTCTTTCTGCCTTGGGGCAGCTGGTGATTTTGAACTGCTGACCTTGTGGTGAGGACCCAACGTGTAGCCACTACGCCATCTAGGCTGCTCTGCATGGGTAGAGCACTGCCTTTTTCTCAGCGGATCTGTCTCTGGGCTCCTTGCAGGGCGAGCAGAGGGCATGAAAGCCTACCTGAAGAGCGCGGAAGGCTTCTTTGTTCTGAATAAAAGCACGACGATTGGACGGCACGAGGATTCAGACCTTGTTTTGAAGGTAAGAACTCCTCCTCATGCCCTGGCACTCCCTTGACCTTGACCCAAGAGCTTCTGGTTGGCTTGTGCACTCAGTGCTGGGAAAGCCCCACCTCCCACAGCCTCTTCTCCCATTGAGACTCTCCCAGGCACCTAGGGTCCTGGGTTTCCTGGGCTGAGGCAGGAAATGGCCATGAAGCATAGTCCTTAGCACACTTGTCTGCAGATGTCTCCCCACCATCCAGGGCCCCAGCCCCAGCAGCTGGATGGGCCATCTCAAAGGCAGGTGACAAAGGAGGGTTGCTGTGGCCTCTGCCTGTTCTATCTGGTCAGCCAGGGCCACCAGGAGTGTCCAGCTGGGGTACAGGCCTCTTGTCCTCTTCAGAGCTCCTGGGGACAGTTGTGGGCCCTTAGGACCCATGGACCTCCAAGCAGGATAAGGGCTAGTTTGGCCACAGTCTTCTCCTATTGTGTTTCATCTTTTGCATTGGCTGGAGTCTGGTCCACAGACTCAACTCATTGACAGCCAAGAAGGGAAGAAGAAAGAATGATAGGAACAATGGAATTGAGCCTTTTTAAACATCAAAACCAACCCACTGCCAAGTCAATTCCAACTCACAGTGGCCCTATAGGACTGAATAGAACTGCCCTTCTGGGTTTTGTAGACTACATTATAGGAGTAGAAAGTCTCATCTTTCTCCTGGGGACCAGCTGGTGGTTTTGAACTGCTGACTTTGCGGTTAGCTGCTCAACTCATAGTCACTACTCCATTGGGCATCTTTAAACATCAAAGGGAGTTCAGAGTTGCCAGGGAACCTGCAATGGAAAATCTCTTTCTCAGTATGAAAGGCGGGTCTCTCAGACCCCACTCAACAGAGTACTCAGATGATTTTTAATGTTCTGGGGTTTTTTTCCCAACTGTTTTATTGGCACATAATTTACATATCAAACAGTTCAATCGTGCACATAATTTACATATCAAACAGTTCAATCGTGTCAAGAAGAACTGTACAATCATTATCACATCAATTTTAGAACATCCCCCATGCCTCATGGTCAAATCACCTTTAAAATAAGTTGTGCCTTCAGTCAACAGTCAGTTCTAGTGCTCCCTCCCCATTCTCACCTTCATTGTTTACTCCCAAAATCCCCTCACCCTCCCTATCACCCACCTCCCCACCCACATCCCTACATCCCCTATAAACCCTGCATCAGTTATTGTCTCTATGCATCCACTCCTCCTGTGCTTTACAAACTGGGCAGCCCAATGGAAACAATAAAAAATAAAATCAAAATACTGTGGAAAGGAGAAAATAATACAAAATTTGTAAGGACAAAAATACAAATAATGAGTAAGAAAGAAGAGACACCCCCCTCCCCCAGACCCCATCAACATTCAAAAAGCCAGGCAAGAAATTTCTGTCATGGAACATGTAAGAGATACTTGCACCCAGAACAAATTCAGGTCCATTCTAAAAAGAGGTCAACCGGCCAAGTGTCCAGTTCAATCCAGCAGAATCAAGACTACAATGGTCTCTGCCTGATGGTAGGGCTGTTTGAGACTCTTGCCTTGGCTATAGCAGATCTGCCAGGGTTTCAGTCTGACTAGATTCTCTGCTGATGGGTTTGGCCTCCCACTGTCCTCCATGGCCTTCTACAAACTAAGTGTTCATAGTTTGAGCTCTGATACTTTCCCCTTCTCTCTATTCAAATTTTGTAATTGTCGTATTTGGTTAACCTTCCATTTTGAGGTAATTGTTGATGCCTAGGAAGTTCCAAAAATGGTCTACAGAGATCCCGTGTATGCTCCACCCAGTTCCCCAAGTGGCTACTTACCTATAATGGCACCAACATCAAAACCAGGAAATGGGCGTCGGTCCACTCTGTGTGTCTCCTTGTGGGCTGTTATATCACCTGTGAAGGGATGTAATCCCCACCGCAGTCAAGACACAGACCCGGGCGCCACCACCAGGAAGGTGGTCCTATGCTGCCCCTTTGAAGCCACACACTTCTCCCCTGCCACCCCTCACCCAGAGCCACCACGCCTCTCCTCTCCCTCCCTACAGTTTTGTCACTTCCAGCATGCTAGACAGATGGGCCTGGCGATGGGGGATTGGGCCGTGATTGTGGGTGATGGTTCCACAAGTAATGTAATTGGCATCACAGGCCTGCACACTTGAACACGTTGGCCCAATGCTGTACTATGTATTTTTAAAAATTTTTATTTATCATTTAATGGGAGCTTTTTTAAAAAAAACCATTTTATTGGGGGCTTGTACAACTCTTATCACAATCCATACATACATCAATTGTGTAAAGCACATTTGTACATTCGCTGCCCTCATCATTCTCAAAACATTTGCTTTTCATTTAAGCCTCTGGCAGCAGCTCCTCATTTTCCCCCCTCCCTCCCTGCATCTCCCTCCCTCATGAACCCTCGATAATTTATAAATTATTATTTTGTCATATCTTACACTGTCTGATGTCTCCCTTCCCCCACTTTTCTGTTGTCCGTCCCCCAGGGAGGAGGTTATATGTAGATCCTTGTAATTGGTTCCCCCTTTCTACACCACCCTCCCTCCACCCTCCTGGTATCGCCACTCTCACCACTGGTCCTGAAGACATCCTCCACCCTGGATTCCCTGTGTTTCCAGTTCCTCTCTGTACCAGTTGGACTATGTTTTATAAAGAACGCTGTGTAAATGGAATTGATGTGACCTGAGGTTGGCTTCCCCCTCCCCGCCCCCCCAGCACACAGACTCAGCATCATTCTCTGGAGATCCATGTAGGTTGTTACTGTCGCTGCAGTGTGTTCTAGTGTTCCAGGGTGGGGATTTACCCTCGTTGGTTTAACCACGCAGCCTTGCTTCTTATCTGAGGCTGTTGCAAATAAAGCTGCCCAAGCCTTTCCTGCACAGGTTTCTGTGTGGATACAGGTGTGTATTTCTCTGAGATAAACTCCCTGGAGTGTGAAAGCTGGGTCAGAAGGTCAGTATGATGTTGGATTTGCAAAGAAACTGCCGAATCATTTTCCAGAATGTACTATTTTACAGCCCCACCAGCAATATAGAAGAGATTCAGTTTCTCAACATTCTCACTGATATATATATATACACACACACACACACACACACATATATATATACATATAAATGATTTGAGCTCTTCTTGATAGGTGTGCCCCATTGACACAGCGGCTGCACCGATGGGCTCAAACGTAAGAACAGTTGTGAGCGTGGCCCAGGACCGGGCAGTGGTGGTCTGCTGTGCATAGGATCACAATGAGTCGGAACCGACTCGATGTTACCTCACAGAACCAACAGCAGTAGGTGTGTTATTACTCTTTCAGTGCAGCCGGTTATGCCACTAGCCAAGAGGTTGCTGGTTTGAATCCACCAGTGCTCCCTGGGGGGAAAGTGAGGCAGTCTGCCTTTGTAGAGATTTGCAGCCCTGACACCCGAGGAGTGGGCTTACTGTCCGGAGAGAGCTGTTGTGAGTTGCATCCACTCAATGGCAGTGGGTTTTGATCGCAGTGGGTGTGTCGTGAGAGCGCATCGTGATCTCAGCTGGCATCATCCCACTGGCTGCTGATATTGATGGTCTTTGGGGGTATTTACTTGCCCCCTGGATATCCTGCTTGGTGACAAACATCTCTTCATGTCAGGTGCACATTTTCCAATTGAATGTCTGTCTTCTTATTGTGGAGTTCTTTCTGTCCTTGGGGGTCGAGTTTGTTGTCAGAATGCTGCTGTTGCTAGGGGCCGTCAAGCTGGCTCTGACTCATGGTGACCCTCTGCACAGCAGAGCAAATATCGGTGGCCCAGCCCGGGGCCACGCCGCATTGCTGCTACGCTTAAGCCTGTTGTTGCAGCCACTGTGTCAACCCATCTCCTTGAGGGTCTTCCTCCTTTCCCTTGATACCTCGGCTTTACCAAGCACGATGTCCTTTCCAGTGGCTGGTCTCCCCTGATGACCTATCCAGAGCAGGTCAGGTGAAGTCCGGCCACTCTGGCTTCTGAGCAACATTCTACCTTTCCCTCTTCCAAGACAGATGGGTTCTTTCGGTGGTAGTCCAGGGTAGACTGCGTAGTCTTCTCCAACAGCATAATTCAAATGCATCCAGACTCCAGTCTTCTTTACTCATTGCCCAGCTTCCACCTGCAGGGAGGCGATGGAAGCGACCGTGGCTGCGCCAGGCCCACCTCAAGTTGACATCTCTGCTTTTTAGCAGTTTAAAGGGGTCTTTGCTGCAAATTCGCCCATTTGATTTCTTCACTGCCGATTCTGTGCATGGTTGTGGATCTAAGTAAAAGGAAATCCTCGACAGCTTCAGTCTTTGCCGTGTTTATCATGATGTTGCTCTCTGGTCTCGTGAGGGTTTTTGCTTTTCTGTGTGAAGCTGTAAGTGCTTTACGTCCTGCTCACTTTCGGATGTGGCATCGGTGTATCACAGGGTTTTACTCACCACCTGGACTAGAGCCTTCCTCCCATCCAGATGTGGTCCTTCTTCATGTACTCCAGTGTGTTAGGCCAGGTTGACTAGAGAAACAAAACCAAGGAGATATATATATGAAAGAGCTTTACACCAAAGAGTAATCATATAATAAGAAAACATCTCAGCCAGTGCAGATCAAGTCCATAAGTCTGATATTAGCCCATAAATAACTCTCCAGACTCACACAATCACATACAATGATGCCGAATGCAGAAAGATCACAGGCCGGTGGGTGCAGTCTTGTGGATCTGGTTACAGTGAAAGCATCTCAATACTGGTGTGGGTCTCCACGTGGCTCCTCCAGCTAGCTCAGTGAATGTAGTATAATGGTTGGGGGGTGGGGTGTCAGCCCCCACCGCTAGTCGTGGGTTCAATAAGCACAATTGT